CTCTTCTCTGCATGTGGGCCATGAGTGGTACTGCTGCAACATCTCTCCCTTCACTCGCTCTTCTCTGCCTGTGGGCCATGAGTGGTACTGCTGCAACATCTCTCCCTTCACTCGCTCTTCTCTGCATGTGGGTCATGAGTGGTACTGCTGCAACATCTCTCCCTTCACTCGCTCTTCTCTGCATGTGGACCATGAGTGGTACTGCTGCAACATCTCTCCCTTCACTCGCTCTTCTGTGCATGTGGGCCATGAGTGGTACTGCTGCAACATCTCTCCCTTCACTCGCTCTTCTGTGCATGTGGACCATGAGTGGTACTGCTGCAACATCTCTCCCTTCACTCGCTCTTCTGTGCATGTGGACCATGAGTGGTACTGCTGCAACATCTCTCCCTTCACTCGCTCTTCTGTGCATGTGGACCATGAGTGGTACTGCTGCAACATCTCTCCCTTCACTCGCTCTTCTCTACATATGGACCATGAGTGGTACTGCTGCAACATCTCTCCCTTCACTCGCTCTTCTCTACATATGGACCATGAGTGGTACTGCTGCAACATCTCTCCCTTCACTCGCTCTTCTCTGCATGTGAACCATGAGTGGTACTGCTGCAACATCTCTCCCTTCACTCGCTCTTCTCTACATATGGACCATGAGTGGTACTGCTGCAACATCTCTCCCTTCACTCGCTCTTCTCTGCATGTGGGCCATGAGTGGTACTGCGGCAACATCTCTCCCTTCACTCGCTCTTCTGTACATATGGACCATGAGTGGTACTGCTGCAACATCTCTCCCTTCACTCGCTCTTCTCTACATATGGACCATGAGTGGTACTGCTGCAACATCTCTCCCTTCACTCGCTCTTCTCTGCATGTGAACCATGAGTGGTACTGCTGCAACATCTCTCCCTTCACTCGCTATTCTCTGCACGTGGGCCATGAGTGGTACTGCTGCAACATCTCTCCCTTCACTCGCTCTTCTCTGCATGTGTACCATGAGTGGTACTGTTGCAACATCTCTCCCTTCACTCGCTCTTCTCTACATGTGGGCCATGAGTGGTACTGCTGCAACATCTCTCCCTTCACTCGCTCTTCTCTGCATGTGGACCATGAGTGGTACTGCTGCAACATCTCTCCCTTCACTCGCTCTTCTCTGCATGTGGGCCATGAGTGGTACTGCTGCAACATCTCTCCCTTCACTCGCTCTTCTCTGCATGTGGGCCATGAGTGGTACTGCTGCAACATCTCTCCCTTCACTCGCTCTTCTCTGCATGTGGGCCATGAGTGGTACTGCTGCAACATCTCTCCCTTCACTCGCTCTTCTCTGCATGTGGGCCATGAGTGGTACTGCTGCAACATCTCTCCCTTCACTCGCTCTTCTCTGCATGTGGGCCATGAGTGGTACTGCTGCAACATCTCTCCCTTCACTCGCTCTTCTCTGCATGTGGACCATGAGTGGTACTGCTGCAACATCTCTCCCTTCACTCGCTCTTCTCTGCATGTGGGCCATGAGTGGTGCTGCTGCAACATCTCTCCCTTCACTCGCTCTTCTGTACATGTGGGCCATGAGTGGTACTGCTGCAACATCTCTCCCTTCACTCGCTCTTCTCTGCATGTGAACCATGAGTGGTACTGCTGCAACATCCCTCCCTTCACTCGCTCTTCTCTGCATGTGGGCCATGAGTGGTGCTGCTGCAACATCTCTCCCTTCACTCGCTCTTCTGTACATGTGGGCCATGAGTGGTACTGCTGCAACATCTCTCCCTTCACTCGCTCTTCTCTGCATGTGAACCATGAGTGGTACTGCTGCAACATCTCTCCCTTCACTCGCTCTTCTCTGCACGTGGGCCATGAGTGGTACTGCTGTAACATCTCTCTCTTCACTCGCTCTTCTCTGCATGTGGGCCATGAGTGGTACTGCTGCAACATCTCTCTCTTCACTCGCTCTTCTCTGCATGTGGGCCATGAGTGGTACTGCTGCAACATCTCTCCCTTCACTCGCTCTTCTCTGCATGTGGGCCATGAGTGGTACTGCTGTAACATCTCTCCCTTCACTCGCTCTTCTCTGCATGTGGGCCATGAGTGGTACTGCTGCAACATCTCTCCCTTCACTCGCTCTTCTCTGCATGTGGGCCATGAGTGGTGCTGCTGTAACATCTCTCCCTTCACTCGCTCTTCTCTGCATGTGGGCCATGAGTGGTACTGCTGCAACATCTCTCCCTTCACTCGCTATTCTCTGCACGTGGGCCATGAGTGGTACTGCTGCAACATCTCTCCCTTCACTCGCTCTTCTCTTCATGTGGGCCATGAGTGGTACTGCTGCAACATCTCTCCCTTCACTCGCTCTTCTCTGCATGTGGGCCATGAGTGGTACTGCTGCAACATCTCTCCCTTCACTCGCTCTTCTCTGCATGTGGGCCATGAGTGGTACTGCTGCAACATCTCTCCCTTCACTCGCTCTTCTCTGCATGTGGGCCATGAGTGGTACTGCTGCAACATCTCTCCCTTCACTCGCTCTTCTCTGCATGTGGGCCATGAGTGGTACTGCTGCAACATCTCTCCCTTCACTCGCTCTTCTCTGCATGTGGGCCATGAGTGGTGCTGCTGCAACATCTCTCCCTTCACTCGCTCTTCTCTGCATGTGGGCCATGAGTGGTACTGCTGCAACATCTTTCCCTTCACTCGCTCTTCTCTGCCTGTGGGCCATGAGTGGTACTGCTGCAACATCTCTCCTTTCACTCGCTCTTCTCTGCATGTGGGCCATGAGTGGCACTGCTGCAACATCTCTCCCTTCACTCGCTCTTCTCTGCATGTGGGCCATGAGTGGTACTGCTGCAACATATCTCCCTTCACTCGCTCTTCTCTGCATGTGGGCCATGAGTGGTGCTGCTGCAATATCTCTCCCTTCACTCTCCCTTCTCTACATGTGGGCCATGAGTGGTACTGCTGCAACATCTCTCCCTTCACTCGCTCTTCTCTGCATGTGGGCCATGAGTGGTACTGCTGCAACATCTCTCCCTTCACTCGCTCTTCTCTGCATGTGGGCCATGAGTGGTACTGCTGTAACATCTCTCCTTTCACTCGCTCTTCTCTGCATGTGGGCCATGAGTGGTACTGCTGCAACATCTCTCCCTTCACTCGCTCTTCTCTGCATGTGGGCCATGAGTGGTACTGCTGCAACATCTCTCCCTTCACTCGCTCTTCTCTTCATGTGGGCCATGAGTGGTACTGCTGTAACATCTCTCTCTTCACTCGCTCTTCTCTGCATGTGGGCCATGAGTGGTACTGCTGCAACATCTCTCCCTTCACTCGCTCTTCTCTTCATGTGGGCCATGAGTGGTACTGCTGCAACATCTCTCCCTTCACTCGCTCTTCTGTGCATGTGGGCCATGAGTGGTACTGCTGCAACATCTTTCCCTTCACTCGCTCTTCTCTGCATGTGGGCCATGAGTGGTACTGCTGCAACATCTCTCCCTTCACTCGCTCTTCTCTGCATGTGGGCCATGAGTGGTACTGCTGCAACATCTCTCCCTTCACTCGCTCTTCTCTGCATGTGGGCCATGAGTGGTACTGCTGCAACATCTCTCCCTTCACTCGCTCTTCTCTGCATGTGAGCCATGAGTGGTACTGCTGCAACATCTCTCCCTTCACTCGCTCTTCTCTGCATGTGGGCCATGAGTGGTACTGCTGCAACATCTCTCCCTTCACTCGCTCTTCTCTGCATGTGGGCCATGAGTGGTACTGCTGCAACATCTCTCCCTTCACTCGCTCTTCTCTGCATGTGGGCCATGAGTGGTACTGCTGCAACATCTCTCCCTTCACCCGCTCTTCTCTGCATGGGGGCCATGAGTGGTACTGCTGCAACATCTCTCCCTTCACTCGCTCTTTTCTGCATGGGGGCCATGAGTGGTACTGCTGCAACATCTCTCCCTTCACTCGCTCTTCTCTGCATGGGGGCCATGAGTAGTACTGCTGCAACATCGCTCCCTTCACTCGCTCTTCTCTGCATGTGGGCCATGAGTGGTACTGCTGCAACATCTCTCCCTTCACTCGCTCTTCTCTGCATGTGAACCATGAGTGGTACTGCTGCAACATCTCTCCCTTCACTCGCTCTTCTCTGCATGTGAACCATGAGTGGTACTGCTGCAACATCTCTCCCTTCACTCGCTCTTCTCTGCATGTGAACCATGAGTGGTACTGCTGCAACATCTCTCCCTTCACTCGCTCTTCTCTGCATGTGGGCCATGAGTGGTACTGCTGCAACATCGCTCCCTTCACTCGCTCTTCTCTGCATGTGGGCCATGAGTGGTACTGCTGCAACATCTCTCCCTTCACTCGCTCTTCTCTGCATGTGGGCCATGAGTGGTACTGCTGCAACATCTCTCCCTTCACTCGCTCTTCTCTGCATGTGGGCCATGAGTGGTACTGCTGCAACATCTCTCCCTTCACTCGCTCTTCTCTGCATGTGGGCCATGAGTGGTACTGCTGCAACATCTCTCCCTTCACTCGCTCTTCTCTGCATGTGGGCCATGAGTGGTACTGCTGCAACATCTCTCCCTTCACTCGCTCTTCTCTACATATGGACCATGAGTGGTACTGTTGCAACATCTCTCCCTTCACTCGCTCTTCTGTACATGTGGGCCATGAGTGGTACTGCTGCAACATCTCTCCCTTCACTCGCTCTTCTCTGCATGTGGGCCATGAGTGGTACTGTGTGTTTGTACAGCAAAGACATCCTACCCCAACTGATGGTGGTCTATCTCATCTCGTAGACACGGAACACTATTTTCTATCTTAAAATACAGTAGTTCTTCGCTAGTTTAAATATGAAAATAACTGAGCGTGATTTTCCCGTGATGGACAAATCCTGTCCATGCACGTTCCTGCATGCGTTACTAAAGTTACCGAACAATTAACAGCATATTGTTGATCTGATAATGGACATACAATTCTCTCTGGAACGTCATAGATTCTATTATTTTGTTGTTGTTGTTGTTGTAACAAACCTCTAAACTCGGTATCAAAGCTTTAGCTTCCTCGTAGTTATCAGGACACAGATTAGCTAAACATGCGGCTTCAAACTTGTGTAAGTTCTTTGACTGGAGGTTTTCTCTTACAGCCTGCATATGTATTATAATATTTAAAATTTGTTATGTTATGAGAATTAAATCTAAAATCCTGACTAAAAATTATTTAAAACATAAAATGTATGTGTTTGCTTGTGTTATAAATTCGATAAATTTCTTAACGCAATGAATCAGCTCCAAGAAGCTTATAGATTTGTCAATTAACGTGATTCAATATAATGCACTAACAGAATTACCTTAATGGTTTCTCTGTTTTGATAAAAACTGAACTTCTCTGTGTACTCAAGTGTCTTGTTAAATACTGCTGACAACTCCTGGTCCTCATCCATCTCCTCGTTCTGCTCTTTTCTCACCTGTTAATCAGCTCAATTAATTAGCTCATCTAATTAACTTCATCTGTTTGTTAAATGATCTGCATCTGGTATCGATGATCAGGTCTAATAAATGGCGAATCAGGTCTAATATTTGGCGAATTTTGATATTGAATCGGCCTTGATATTAATATAAGGAATGGTTTATCTGCTTTTATTTCGAACAGCGTTGGAATTCATATGCACCTTTGAAATGAAGAGAGCATCTGCTGTTTTAAACTTACCTTGAGGAGCATGTGCACCTCTGAGATTAGGAGAGCATCTGCTGTTTTGAACTCGCTAGGAAACTTGAGCTGAGCTGCATCTTCATCCTCCTCTAGCTTTATCTGCTTCCGAACTGCTGTCATGAATACACTAGGCTACTGAGGTTATATGCTGGTTTAAAACCTCTAAATGAGGTTATATGCTGGTTAAAACCTCTAAATGAGGTTATGCTGGTTAAAAACCTCTAAATGAGGTTATATGCTGGTTTAAAACCTCTAAATGAGGTTATATGCTGGTTAAAAACCTATAACTGGAGCTATGTATTCTGGGTAAAATTATCTTTATCCCGGTTGTTGCGACAAAGATAATTTTACCCAGAATACATTACAACAATGCGACTCATAAACAATACTCCAATCCGGATTTTACATGAACTGGAGCTATGTATTGGTTAAAAACCTCTTAATTTTTGTTATATTTAAACGATTCAATGCGTAGATTTGAAGTGAAGGAAACTCATTTGTTCAAATGTAATAACTTAAATTATAGGTTACAGTATCAAACCAATGTAAATAATAACTTTAACAATTAACATCAAATCATTTTTAACATAAAAATCAATCTTGGCTGTTAAGACTCTAAACCAGACATCATCAACATTCAACAGGGTCACGACCTTAAAAAGTAAGGGATTTAATCAAATACTATTTGATGATTATTCGATTGATAGCTGGGTAATGCAAATATTTTCGGTCTTTGCTTCATAATACATATTATACTGTAACAAATGGCGTTTTATCTCAAGCGAAACCCTCGTTAGAAATGATCTAAGATAACAAACCAGGATACGCTTACTGTATCCAAATATAGTACAGATGTTATCTATGGGGGGATAATATCTCGGGGCCATTGTCCGTGATAACTATGGTGTGTTCGAACTGAGCAGCCCGTTTAGTGTCCGCGGACACGGCTGTCCACCCGTCTGATAATATTCGCATTTCGTCCCGCCCTTCCATTATTATAGGCTCTGACAAATATAAGACTGTCATTTTAGGTTCTTTAAGATGTAGGTCATTATAGGGAATAATTCAACATAGGTAACATAATAAGAAAATGCTGAAATGAGTGAGAATACGAATTGGTCTCTGAAGAATGAGTACTACCACATTCAGCTGAACACAGCTGATAAATTACTATAATGAAATCATACCTATAGTAAAAACCATCCCGGGCCGGAGTATTGGACCGTGGTTGTTGGTGTAGTGATAAACCTCCGGTAACCCATGGAAATAGGAGCCGATACCATGTCCTATAAACTCCTTACAGATACTGAACCCAGCCTCGTCTGCGTGATCACTGTAAAATATTACGTCATCTTCATCATAATGTGTAAGTAACCAGAGCTATGCTTATAATTATAGGGTTAAAGTTATTGATGTTATTGTGATGAGTTATGTTTGATAATTCTGAACTTAAGTTATTATTTCTAGGGTAAAATAATAAATATTATTAGAGTTTCAATTGAATTGTAGTTTAATAACTAATGCAACATGATGATATGATGTACTTAGCCCAAGAAAGCCGCACTATTCAGTGTCTGTAACAGTAATAATATTTGTAAAAGTAAAATTCCAACGAGTATGTTATCTAACAAATCTAAAAGTTACCTGATGGTGTTACCAACAGCACAAATCCTCACTCCTGGTCTACACTGGTTGATTGCAGCCAAAGTGCTGTCTTTAGCTACTGCGGTAAGTTGGTGGGCGATGCTGTCTCCTTTTCCTACTACTTTGGTGGAGCAACAGTCACCAAATACTCCTTTGTAGAATATCTGGGGGTTTGCAGCTTGGTTACGGTCCAGGTATAATTGTTATAGATAATTTAATATTTTCAACTATAATAACAGGCTTTATTAACTGAGAAAATGCCAAAAACATTTAAATTATTGAGTTTGTTGAAATTTGAATCTTTGTTTTGTTAATAAAGTCCAATATAGTGTAATAAAGTGCACTAAAGAGCAATATAGTGCAATATAAACATACAGTACAATATAGTGCACTCACAGAAACATCAATACTGATGATATCGCCGTCCTGTAGCTGCCTGCTGTTGGGTATGCCATGACACAGAACATTGTTAACGGAGGTACAGATAGACTTGGGAAAGCCTCTGTAGTTGAGGGGAGCGGGGTAAGCTCCTTGTGTCACTATCTGGTCATGCCCGAACTTGTCCAACTCGTCTGTTGTTATGTCCACCTGACCGGGGAGGGAAGAGTGAGGACACTATGAATATTGAATCGGGTTCACATCTGTGTTCTTATGGCTCTTTGAGAATATATATCTAGAATAAGCCATAACCACTCATCTGAAGAGGATTATGCTCAGGTGCAACAGGTTTTACTTAATAATAATAATAATAATAATATTCTTGATGTAGGATGATTGAGGCTACAACGTGTGAAAGATAAAGCCTGATAAAAACTTGATCAAACCTGGGCCATTTCCATAACTTTGTCCAGGATTCCTCCTGTAATGTGGCCAGCTTCTCGTAACTTTGCTACCTCATCTCTAGACTTAATATCTGCGAGAGAACGTTTTGTTATTTTCTGTTTTGAAAAAAAAAACGTTTTAAGTTCAAATTACTTGAATAATTAAAACTTATAGATCTCCTAATAAGGGCACAGATGAGGCAAACCTATGACAGGTGGTCGGGGAGGAGGAATACCGTTCTTGTGATAACTAGCCAGGACAATAGAGGAGGGGACACGGTTCATTTCACTTACAGAGTCCAACCCGACCACGGTGTACTGTCTTGAACAGGCTCTACAGAGGGCCACACCTCTCAGCCCACCTATCATTCTACCTTGTGCTGGGATCATAGAATAGGTCACGTGACGTTAATGATGTATATTAATGATGTGTTTATTATGTTTATAGTATGTTTATAATGTAGGCGGTCGGGTTGCTCAAATCGCATGGCAATTATCCCGTATATGGTTTGAATGTGGTATTTTTAGCCTTGTGAGGCATGTTTGCTTATTTGATAAGGGAAACCTGACCGCTTGTCTGTTACATAATATTATCCATTTATTGTAGCCTGGTTGAGTTATAAATAATATTTAAGATATAGTTGGTAATTTATTAGACATATTTGCATTCGAAATACATCGATTTATATTTTAAGGAAACAATAAAGCAATCAATATTGTCGAATCAAAGGAAACAATCAATTTTAATTTGTATATCATTTTCTGTACATCAAAATATATGTAATAACCAAATGGCCGTGAAAAACTGCAACTAAATCTGAGACAATACAACCTACAATTTACTTTAACTCAAGTTGTTATTACTAGGTTAATATAATATATATATATTAAACATGTAATTAATCAAGTGAACTTCTAAATACATTCAAACGTTAATATTGATGAACAGCAAATCACTTCACAACTTCTGGTGGCTAAGCTACAATTTTAGCTACTCACGAATCTTCTGTATCTCATTAATTATCTAATTAATTATGGAATATCATTCAATCTATAAGTATAGTAGTCTATTCGTAACTAATTAAACTAATTTTCCAGCCGATTACTCTAATGTGAATCATCATCATTAAAGGACCATGGCAGCAACAACATCAAATAAAACAAATACAAAAATAAACTTAACTTAATCAACCCATTACATTTTATAACGTCGTGTGAGAATTTACGTTCCGTGCTCATTCAGGAATGTGGTGTAATCTGAGGCAGTGCAAGGCAAGGATTTCGATGTGGACATTGAAAGTTATTGATGAAATACCCAAACAATGTTAAAAGAAAACAACTATTATTTTCAACAGTGCTGCAACAAATTGACACTGAATCTAGAAAAATTCGATAGCTTTTGAAATGTACGGTTTTCTATTTATTTTTAATAGTTTGAACTGACGATGTATTAATAATCCTCCAGGCCCAAACGCCATTAAAACACAAGATCAGTCCAAAATAAAACTAACTTTATCTGTGCCAACAGAAGGGCCCTACCCAAACTGCTAAACGTAAACTTGTGAAAGTGCCATCTGATCACACATGGGCTTAATACACCATCGTGTACACACATAAAAGATAATTCCAACAAATATGGAGATGGGAAGGGCAGGAAGAGCCTTCTTGACTATGGCTAATATCAGTAGAGTAAGACAGAGTCCTATCAGAATAGCCACAAAACAGGCCATCACCGTGTTCCAATCGTCTGCGGTAGCTGCCTTGCCCACCAGCACGCTGTAGAAGATGAAGTCTCCCAGACCAAGCTTTACTCCTTGCTCTTCTGGTTCCTGTTGTAGGTAAGGGGTAAAGGGTAAAAGGTAGAAGTAGGGGTTAATCGAGGAATCACGAATGTAATTATTTTCAAGGTCTCTGGCACAGTAAGTTGTGTAATATACGTATCATTAAATTGTAAACGTATTATTAAATTGTAAAACAAAATTCATGATTTAGTGCAAATTAGAGATCACTTCAACAGTCAAGATAATTCATTAGTTTGAGTAGGACTCATTAATTTGAGTAGGATAATCACGCATGATTAAAGTGCAAATTTATTTTTGAATGAAGACCGAAATTAAAATATCAATCAACAGCAGTAATAGAGAGATAACACTGTGATTTAAACTATCAGATCAAAAACGGAACTCTCCAAGGTTCCTCCAATCAAAAGATAAATCACGCACCATCTCTGGCTGAGCCCGTTCGGGAGGAGAAGCGCTGCTCCCAGTGGAGTTATTCAGCGGGTTGTAGCTACTCACTGGTTCTCCGTCCGCCATTGTCGTGATGGTCCACATCATGGTGGAGGAGTAGATAAGGGAGGGAAATATGGGTTCGTTTCTCTCTTCTGCTGTTTCGACCAGGATACGCAGTGGTCCTTTGGGGCAGAGCACAGCAAACAGGTCGTATACTGCTATTCCACCTGTTACAGGAACATATTATTATAAGTGTAACTAGATGGTACAGCTGACAGGTACTGATAAAGACACAATTTGAAATGTTATTATCAGCTGGACTATTGGTTAGAATGACAACCCAGCTGAGAAAATGGTTGCTGAACTTGAGATCTGAAACTGAAACCATACCTAAAATAAACCAAAGAGTCCACTCTGGAAGATACTTGATGAAAACAAGTGCCATCATGGCACTGATGATTAGTAAGTAGCCTTGCTGAAGGATCAAGGGTCCTTTCCAGTGAACACTAATGATTCCCATCACACCAAAGTTCCAGACTATTAGGGCAATAGTAATATAATCCATTGCAAAGTTAAAACGAACTACAATCTGAAAATAATTTGATGTTCACATCACAAAAAGTTGTGAATGTAATTAATAATACAAAACAATAGGTTTACTTGGTTCTTGGAATGTCTTATTGAAATAAGAAATTGAATATTATTAAAATCACACATGATAATAAAAGCTATACAAAACTATGTGCATCATTATAATAAAAACTATAAAGTCTGCTACTCTGTTTATTACTCACATTGTTAATAAACAGTATATTACATGAAAGGACTTACCTCTTGCAAGTTCAGGAAAGTAAACATGAATAAGAGTATTAAAGAGGACAAGAAAAGCCATCCCTCAATGACTTTGTAGCACCGGTATTTGTAGAGTAAAACCAGGATGCAAGTCATGAATATTACTAGACCAAGGACTATAAGCATGTTTAGAACAGCATCACTTATAGGTGAACCTAAGTGGAACCTCGATTACTGTCAACATATTGAGCAATATAATATCAGGATATGAAGCAAATCTAATCACATGCTGCATTGTAAACCGAGACGGTGCCCGGGTGGTTATAATGACCACAAGATATAACTTTAAGCTAATTTTAATTTACATTCAGATGCCAACCTGTTGATAATTGATTTTGTTCATTGAATGGTGTGTAAACCAAGTAGACGGTTGGTTGTGAACCAATATCGTACATGGTGATAACCCGTATGGTTACAATCACAAGTACCATACAAAGCGAAACTGGAACTATCAACATCATCACATGTTTAGCCCCATATTTAAGTGTTTCCTGTTCTTCAGCATCATCATCTTCAGCTTCAACTCTTTCTGGGACATCTGGTTCCTCTTCTTGGGTAGGACCCACAGCCACATTTGAAGACATATTGATACCTTGATAATTGATTTGATATAAGAATGCAGTGAAAATATTGCACTACAATAAATGCTTACTTGCCGATTAGCTTGGCAACACTTCTCTCCTAATGTTTTACATACAATTAATATAATATCCTGATTAGTTGATAACTTAAAATCAGAAAGATAGATTAGTCATATTTTTATACAATGTGGGTTAAAAAAAGGGTGCTGGGTGACCAACTTTGAGGATACTTTATACAGAAACGGCTTTTACCCGACTATCTCCATTGCAACACATTTTCGTCAAAACTGTAAAAGTTCCTGCATCGATAACATTTTAACAAATAAAATTGAGAATATAGTCTTATCAGGTGTTATTGAAGAACGGCTTGGTGAGCATGCCCCTATATTTACCTTCACTTCAGTAGAGACCCCTCGCAGTACAGAGCCTCAGAAACATGTCCGCTATTATGATTACTCAAGTTCCAAATTGAAAAGCTTTGTAACTGAACTTGAGGTAAAGGTAAACCAGCTCACTCCTTCAACAAAATTTGATGAGTTTACGGCATGTTTTGACCAGACACTCGACAAACACTGCAAACTGGAGGTACCGAAAGTGACAAAAAGAACTCCCAAACTTAACCCATGGATTACAGACAGTATCATCCAGTCTGTAGAAAGAAAGCATGAACTACGTAAGGAGTGGTCTGACACCGTTACCAATAAGAACCCTGGTGGTAATATCTTGCTATACCAAGTATTTAGTGATTATCGTAGGATGCTCAAAGCTATCATTAAAGCTGCCAAACGTTGGCATTACTGTAACGAAATTCTAAACAACTGTGAAAACAGCAAGAAAACCTGGCAAATTATTAACGAACTCAGAGGCAAAAAGAAGAGGCAAACCAAGCCCCCATTTATCATTGATAACCAAAGAATAGTTGATAGAAGAGCAATTGCTAATGGATTCAATGCTTGGTTTGTCTCTATCGCACCAAAGCTGAATGAGACACTGAATAATCTATCTAATGGCCTGCCTATATTACCCATGAAAACTTTCTATGACTTCCTGAACCCAAGAAATGAAAAAAATATTAGGTTAGAAGATTGCTCCTCGAACGAAATATTGAAAATCATAAGAGAGTTCGAAAATGGTAAAGCCAGTGACATTCCCATAAGTGTAATAAAAAAGTCATCTCATGTAATTGCACCTGTATTATCGAATTACTTCAATATCCTTATGACCCAAGGTATATTTCCTGATGTCCTGAAAACTGGTAAAATAACACCTGTATATAAGAAAGGTAACCCAGAAGAAATCGAGAACTACCGTCCTATCTCCACACTGTCCGTCTTCGGTAAGATCTTTGAAAAGCTCATATATTCTAGAATATACGGATTTGTTAGCTCCCAGGGAGTTATATCGAAGACACAGTTTGGATTTAGGAAATCTCACTCTACATCGCATGCAGTCAATTACTCTGTAGATTTAATTACGAAATCTCTTAAACTTAAGAATCATGTTTTAGGAATATTCATTGACCTTAGCAAAGCTTTTGACACCATCGATCATTCAACACTTCTTATAAAATTAGAGGGATGTGGAGTGAGAGGAGTTGCAAATAACCTCATAAAAAGCTACTTAACAAACAGGCAACAATACACTGAAGTTGTAGGAGAAAAATCAGATACCCTATCTATTCAATTTGGTGTCCCACAGGGTTCAATTCTTGGACCTCTCCTATTTCTTCTTTATATGAACGACATCACAAACAGTTCTAAACTAGGATCATTTGTTACCTTTGCTGATGATACTAATATATTTGTTGTCGGCAAAACAAAATGTGAGGCATATGAACGAGGAAATGAGCTTTTGTCATCATTACAGTCTTATATGAGAGCGAATAAGTTACATATAAACATGTCCAAGTGCTGCTACATACACTTCAAACCCAACATGGCAGGTTCTAAGTCAGAGATTTTATCACACCCTGAACCTGTACTAACTATAGACAACTATCCAATCAAAAAGGTTTCATCCGCAAAATTTCTGGGTGTTATAATTGACGAGAACCTATCATGGGAAGATCACATTAAAGCTCTTAAGCGAACCCTAAATCATTCCACATCCACTTTATGTAGACTTCGCTGCTCCCTTCCAGAATTTCTACATCAACAATTATATTATACTCTGTTCGAATCACATCTTTCCTACTGTATATCTGTATGGGGTGGGGCAGCTAAGCAACGTATAAGCTCAATATTTACTGCTCAGAAGTACTGTCTCAGAGTACTATTTGGTGATAGGCTGGCGTACCTTGATAAGTTTAAGACTTGTGCACGTACTAGGCCTATAGGACACCAGAAACTTGACCAAAAATTTTTCATAAAAGAACACACCAAACCGATATTCAAGCATAATAATATTCTAGCTATACAAAATCTCTATACATACCACAGTTACCTCGAGCTCTACAAGATAATGAAATTCCGTGCTCCAATATCCCTATATGAGGGTTACACATGTTCGTCTAGGAAACCCTGCCTTCTTATCTGTCAGGTAGACCCACCTGACAACCACAACACTAGGTCAACCAAAATTTTTAACATTTTAACCCCAAAGTTCAGAATGACTGACTTTACTACTAGTGTAATGTGCTTGCGAGGAAAACTTAAAAGTGCGCTATTAGCCAATCAGCATAACCACGCCCTGCTTGATTGGACCGTAAAAGATTTTGACTGCACAAATATTATTTTCCAAACATTATAACTGGCTGTTCACACACATCTCAATTAAATTCCTCTAGGCTACTGTTTTCCAAGTCTTGTCCTGTGAGTAAAGAATGTGTGAGAAGGTATTAATAAAATAAATGTATATTTTTTGAATTTTTAAATCTAATCTGAGAATGAAGTATAAAGAAATTTTTAATTAGCACTGTATAGTTTAAGATATTTATAGCTTATTATAACCATTGATACAAAGGCCATAATCTTTCGCAAGCTCTTTAATATCCACCTTGAAGCCACATTTATATCCTTGAACCACACAATATAAACTAAAGCATGTTTTAGTGTAGACTTTTTGTCACAACAAGACTGCAACCTATAGTAACAACTATAAACAGAACCCCTAATGTCTACTAACAAATTTCTTCTAGTCCTAAAATGAGCCCTGTCTCTAAAAACCTAACTGAACTAGCGTTTCGGTGTGTGCAAAAGCTTTCAGGCACGCGCATTCCTTGCCCCGTTAGTTACCTGTCCTTCCAAAACCAAACTAGCAGTCAAGGACAAAAAGTCATACACCAAATGGGCATTATATTTTATGAATTGTTTTACATCTTTTTATTCTGTAAAATGTGCTAAAATTAAATTTCTTGTTTCATTGAATTTCTTGTTTCATTGAGAGAAAAATTTAAATTAGGATTCGATTATAATTTAAGTCAATATGCATTATTTTGCATTTAGATGAGTTCAATGAAACAATAATTTTTCAATGAAACAATGAGTTTTATTTTACATTCCTTAAATCATAAATAAAATAGTGAAACAAATTTTTATAATTATTTTAAAAACTCTATTTGTAAGTGTTTTTATTATGGAAAGTGGTTGAATTTAGTGCGACAAGGTCAGTTTCTCTATTGTCTCAGAAAAATTCCTACTTTACAGTAGGCAATGCTGAGTGGCAGAAATGACGGACCAAAACGCGTGGGGCTAACAATGGCCCATTTACAAACCACTTCAGACATGGCAATGATGTCATTTATGCTTAATTCGTCCAACTCAGTGGCGTAACGTTGTATATTTAGCAGATACGTAACGTTGCATATTAATCAATGAAACAAGAAATTTTTTCAATGAAACAAGAAATTTTATTTTTAGCACATTTTACAGAATAAAGAGATGTAAAACAATTTATAAAAATATGATGCTCATTTGGTGTATGACTTTTTGTCCTTGACTGTTAGTTTGATTTTAAAGGGACAGGTAACTAACGGGGCAGGGAATGTGCGTGCCTGAAAGCCTTTGCACACACCAAAACGCTAGTTCAGTTGAGTTTTTAGAGACAGGGCTCATATGAGGATCAGAAGAAAATTGTTAGCAGACGTTAGGGGTTCTGTTTGTGTTTGTTACTATGGGTTACAGTCTTGTTGTGACAGAAAGTCTACACTATATATGCCTAAGTTTAAATTGTGTAGTTTGAGGATATAAGATGCAACTTTAAGATGGATATTGGAGAGCTGGTGAAAAATTATGGTCGTTGTATCAATGGTTATAATAAGCTATAAATATCTTAAACTATACAGTGCTAATTATCAAATTAAATCTTAAAAATTCAAAAATATACATTCATTTTATTTTATTAAAGACTTTCTCACACATACTTTACTCACAGAACAAGACTTGGAAAACACTAGACTAGGGGAATTTCGCTGACATGTGTGTGACCAGCAAGTAGTGATCTTTCGAAGACAATATTGTTGCAGTCAAAATCTTTGATGGTCCAATCAAGAGGGGCGTGGCTGTGTTGATTATTTAATAGTGCAAGTTTAAGCTTTCCCCGCAAACACATCACACTCATGGTAAAGTCATCCATTCTAAGTTTTGGAGTAATCATGTTAAAAATTTTGGTTGATCTTGTATTATGGTTATCAGGTGGGTCAGCCTGACAAATAAGTAGGGTCGGCTAATAAACCAATACGATTAATGAAATGTAATAAAAACGGTAAACATTTTTTTAAACCAGGGTAGAAAATTAAATCCTTTGTAATATTATTTGAAATGGTCAACTAACATGAATTGCGCCCGTTTTTTGTTGTGGCGGAAGCTAGATTTCCGTTCACTACCAAGCTCTGATGAAATAACTTCATAATATTATGCTTTAAATACAGTAAACATTTGTGATCATCAAATTCAATTGCCATAGAACTAAACTTCTATATGTAATTTAAGAAATTTGAAGCAAAAACTGAACTTTACTAATGTATTATAGACATCAGTATTACATAATACATTAAAATACAAGAGCGCTGCGCATGCACTGACTACAGTATTATACAAGTACAAATCTCTGCAACCATTGCA